AGGAAAAAAGAAAACATTAAAAGGACGAAAGGTTTTGTCCAAGTGAGATCATATACATACCAAACGAAAAATAATCAATACAATTTTAAGGAAACAACAAAACAGCGAGAAAAAAAACATACATTAAACGAAGTAAACTATGATATATCCAATAATGATAACAATCATTCTAACCAGGAATTTTCACATGTTTTGAAGTAACATACCTCAAAAAATTAATCAACACTTTAATCAACTCTCAATCCTTAAAGTACTCATAATATCCACTGATAAAATTTAGTAAAAATAGATAACAACATAAAAACCAAATAATATGGGCTTGCTAAGTCATTAACTCTCGGAGAATTTTCTAAAGAACACAAAATCGTGTCCTTGTATGTGAAGGGATGACGTTGTTGATGAAGAAATTAGAGATTTGTAAGGGTTTTTTTATTGTACCTTCAACAATTCCAGTAGAGAAAACTTGCTTGAATACTAACAACATAGTTTAAAGCATGTACTCAAAAATAACAATAAATAATATAAGCATAAATTAATGACGGTAAAAAACATACCAGGATCTGTAACAATAGAATGAAACAGAATGGAAAAAATCGAGCCCACTAAATGCACAATGTCCCCTTAAGGAAATTATTCCTCTCTAGTACCCGAGGTTTAAAGGAATTTATCCTCTCGGGATAGAACAATTCTATTCACCAGTGTATTGATAAAAAAACAATGGTGTCAGTGAGTCATTCAACAAGAGCAAAATACATAAATATTTAATTTTCCAAAAGTAGAAGAAGTTCAAAATTTTCGTTATTTTAAAATGAGAGGAAATTCCTCTATTTATAGACAATAAAGGGTAGTGAACAAATGCTTATTGTGTCTTATCAGAAAGGTCACAATTCTTTGAAAAAGTTACAACCCTTCGGAAAGGACACAACCCTTCATAAAAAGTCACAACTTTTCATAAAAGTCACAACTCTTCATAAAAGTCGCAACTCTTCATGAAAGTCGCAACTCTTCATAAAAGTTGCAACTCTTCATAAAAGTCACACCAATTAAAAGGAAATCCTTGTTTGTGGTAGCGCCACGTTAGCGGGGCTAGGGTTCTCTTTTATATATATACTAGAAAAATTATCCACGCATCGCGCGGGAATTTAATATCACGGTATTTATAAAATAGTACTTAAAACCTACTCGTCATTAAATTAAAACACTATATTATCTTACATACAAGATTACGTAGTAACATACATTAATAATGTAAAGGAAGATGAAAATTATAACATCTTATCATTTATCATTAATAACATAAGCATAAATGAATGACTGTAAAAATAGATACCATGATCTGTAACATAAGCAATGGTGTCAGTAAACCACTCAACCGGAGCAAAGTATACGAACATTTAATTGTGCATAAATAGTAGAAGAATTCATAAAAGTCACAACTTTTCATAAAGTCTCAACTCTTCATTAAATTTGCAACTTTTCATAAAAGTCGCAACTTTTCATAAAAGTCACAACTTTTCATAAAGTCTCAACTCTTCATTAAATTTGCAACTTTTCATAAAATTAACAACCTTTCATAAAAGTCACAACTTTTCATAAAGTCTCAACTCTTCATTAAATTTGCAACTTTTCATAAAAGTCGCAACTTTTCATAAAAGTCACAACTTTTCATAAAAGTCGTAACTTTTCGTAAAAGACACAACGTTTCGTTAAAGTCACAATTTTTCATAAAAGTCACAACTTTTCGTAAAAGTCACAACTTCTCATTAAAGGGAAAGTCTAGTTTTTGAAATAAAATAAAATTAAAAGGGGATCCTGGTTTGTGGTGGTGCCACGTAGGCGGGCCTAGGGTTCTCTTTTATATAAATATATGATATGATAGGTACATGAGTGAGTTAATGAGATCAAAGAGCACGAAAAAAGCACTTCATACTAATACGATATGATTATTTACAGGAAAGAAAAATAGAAAACCAAAAGCGCAACATACTTTATCTGTCAGCGAGCAATGCACTCAAGATGTCTAGTAATTTTGCTCGAGGATACAGTAGTACTTGAGTCAAAATTAGTTCATCATTTACCATTATTGCCAAGTTGTAATAGCTCCTATTAATTCCGTTTTTAGTCTCTATACTCTCCTTTTCAATTTTTTAAAGTAGCTCAGACAAAGTTGGCCTACAATTTTTGTGGTTTTAATTGTTTCACCAAATTGGTAAATTTTGAACCGCCAAGAGCTTGTTAAAGATTACACTCGATTTGTTGAGCTCGGTTGAGATTAAAGTGATATCTCAGATCAACAGCTCCAACACCAAGATAGTCGAGTGAAGACTAGCACGGCTTTAACTAGGCTAGCAATTTCTAGCGAAGGACGCATGTGAGTGAAACCTAGCTCTATAGGTCTTTTTTTCTTTCTTTTTTTTGAATATCTGAGAAATATGTTGTTTCTAGCTTCAAACTCGATGGATATTTGAGCCTCTTCCCTCTGTCCTTCTCCATTAAAATAACAAACTTAATTCATTAATAGAATTCAAACCCATGTTGTGTGCCTACCACAAATTCAACTTCGTTACACTATCTTTATGGTTCAACTTCATTGTTTAAGCTAAAACATACTTTTCTTTCAAGTCCTACCTCCAGAGCAAACTCAAGGGCAATAAAGTAACAAAAATACTATATCAAAAGAAAATGAAGATTCTATTAACTTTCTTAACGGTTATATTCCTGCTTCATTGGGGAATTTGAACAACTTGTCTAGTTTGCTTCTTAATGAAAATCAACTTTCTGGCTCTATTCCTGAAGAAATAGGTT